CGGTCATCATGGAACCTTTAATGTTACATGTTGGTACCATTCCATGAAAAGCGGCCCCAATTAAATAATACATGTTCCCTAAACGAGAAAAACAAATGGGCGTAACTAAATAATATTGGATTTTGGAAGGGGGTCTTAGGTTATGAAGAAAAGACGTCGAAAGACAAATTTAAAAGCAGGCAGCATATCCTAAGGGTGAAAAAATATACATCATTCATGTAGGAATACTGGAACTACACAAGTTGAAAAACGCCAATTAGAAGAAGCTACAAATACCACATAACAAACATACATAACAATGATTTCGTATTCAATTTGAACGATATTCAAGAACCGAAAATATAACATCTTTAATTATATGTACGGGCCGACTGTTTACGGCAATAAAATAGTGAAAAACGGAATCTCCAAAGAACGCAAAATTATTAGTATGGTTTTTAATTTCCTTCTTTTCCTGATGTTTGATGAAGATAGCTGACACATGCATATGCTTTCTTAGATACATCGAAAAACCACACAAGGCAATTTACAACAGAAAATTCTACGAATCTTAGAAAATTCTACGTATCTTGGAACACAACACTTTTAATTTCACATAAGAGATAACCCCGTCCTTTAAAACGATTCTTTATATGCTTTACAGACCATTTCATAGGATTGTTTTATAATGTATTAGACTTTAATAAATTAGCACACTCAGCTGTACATCCTGTCTTACCAGATATTAATAAAAGGTTTGCTTGTCCAAAAAAAAAAACAACAAAAAAAACAACTATTGACGACGGTTACCAAATGAATATTCAAGCAGAATTGAATACAAACACATGCGCAAGCGTCCGAGTGCAAGCTTGAACGGCATATAAGGACGCAAACAATGCGGACCCGATCAGTCTACTTTGTTAATTCTTTATTATAATTCGCACGTGTGTAATATTCATTTTAATTATACAATTGCTGCTTAAGGAGTTTTTTAATTTCGTAACCTTAGTGCAAAATATTACAGAACCAATTACGGTCCAATGATTTTAATAGAAAATGATTAAGCTTTTTGCTGGCCTATAAATCAATATGAAAGACATTCGCATAAGTGACCTGTACCATAAATATTTTGCCAGGACCAGGACCAGTAAATAAGATTCTAAAGAGGTATCTTATCATCTTTATCCTCTCGAACATATGGTATCAAAATCCAGCTTGATCAGAAAATACATTTCTCTACTCTAAAAAAATTCGTTTATCTAAATGTTTTCAATCAAACCGAGTGAGCAGTTTTACGTGTAATTTTGTCGAGTTTTGTGCTCCCGGAGACTTCATTTTACAGATTATTGTACTTTTTACAGCAGGTGTTAAAAGCCTAGTGGCAGCTGTTAAAATATTGTTCCGTTGATAAACTTAAGTCTTGTTATATTTTTTCTGGCTCTCCGTGATAATTGATTTCTGCACTTTTAAGTGTTTGACAATTGAGTACACCTCAGTCTGCGCAAGAGGTATGAGGTATGTTTGTTGCAATTTGTAATATCCCTTATGTAACAGCCTGAAGTTTACCTGTAATTATGTCTCCCCCACCTCGGGGGGAGACATATTGTTTTTGCCCTGTCCGTCCGTCAGTCCGTCCGTCAGTCCGTCCGTCCATTCTTCGTTTCCGGACGATAACTAGAGTTCCTTTTGACCTACAGCCCTCAAACTTCATAGGATGATTGGTCTCTTATAGAGCTTGATGATCCCTATTGTTTTTGGGGTCAGTAGGTCAAAGGTCAAGGTCACACTGACCGTTGGTCAATTTCTCGTTTCCGGATGATAACTAGAGTTCCTTTAGACCTACAGACCTCAAACTTCATAGGATGATTGGTCTTATTGAGCAGATGATCCCTATTGTTTTTGGGGTCAGTAGTTCAAAGGTCAAGGTCACAGTGACCGTTGGTCAATTTCTCATTTCCGGATGATAACTAGAGTTCCTTTTGACCTACAACCCTCAAACTTCATAGGATGATTGGTCTTATTAATCAACCTTGTATATAAACCTCCGTCATTGCCGATTAACTTGTTTCCTTCAAAAGCTTACCCTTGTCTTGGAAAATTCACCAACAGAAAACTGCATAGTTCTAGGAGACTTCAACATTGACCTCATTCAATATTTAGAACATCCATTGACCCACACTATGTTACGACATCGCTTTAAACAAATAATAAAACAAGGCTACTACAGCACACAACACACTTATTGACCATATCTACCAGAGAGGCTTGATTGTGAAAACGAGTGGAGTCATCCCAACACACTACAGTTATTATGATTTGACATACATTGAAATTTGAGTTGTCTTTCAATAGTGTAAAAAAAATCTGACAATATGAACGTTTGTTTCAAGTATCATCAAAATCCTTCAAAGGGTTGAAGAGTTATGGAGCAGACACAATTTCCTTTAATTTCGTTTGTGAAACTATATATGATATGACATTCAAGTGTCAAGTAGACCTTGACCTTGGAACCAGCCATACGAAACATGTACTCTACACGTTCTCTGGATGTGGTGAAATTTTTGTTTCAAGTATCTACCAGAGAGGCTTCATTGTGAAAACGAGTGGAGTCATCCCAACACACTACAGTTATCATGATTTTACATACATTGTTAATTTGAGTTGTCTTTCAATAGTGTAAAAAAAATCTGACAATATGAACGTTTGTTTCAAGTATCATCAAAATCCTTTAAAGGTTTTGAAGAATTATGGAGCAGACACAATTTCATTTAATTTCATTTGTGAAACTATATATGATATGACCATCAAGTGCAATTTCGTTTGACGCCCGCCTGCCATACGCTGATTGAATAACCAGGATTTTCAAAATTGAATACCTGGTTAAAAACAAACAGTTTAGGAAGCATCTTCTCATACAACCTTAACAATAGAAACCATCCATAGACAGCCTTCATTGAAGTGACTACCGGGTATTTACATTATCTTATCTCCATTTCCATTCCTGTTTCCATTCACAGTTATTCTCAGCAGTGGGGGAGACATGCGCTTTTTACAAAAGCATCCTCTAGTTTTATTGTGATTAAGGCTTACCGTTTACACTCTTCTTGACCTTTCCACAGTCTAAGGGCGGAGGTCGTGAATGTTATCGTGTAATTCAGTTTAGAGATATGACTTCGACCATTGAGAGTCAATCTGATAACAGTACACCTGTATCGATAATATGTAAAACAATTGTCAAATCGTCTCTCATTTAAGAAAGACTAAATGAGAAAAGACCCTTTGTCCGAGCGTTAACAAAATCCACGTAACAACATCACACAGCATATACAGGTAAAAAAGTTGATGTTTCTAACCGACAGATGTTTACAGATAGTGAAGACTCAAATTATAGTCAATTACCAACAAAATCACTAGAAAAAATATAACTGTTATCATCTGATAAGAAAACTGTGAATATAGGGTTACTCCTGGACCAGTGAATAATCAACAGGGGAACGCTTTAAAAATAAAAGCCCCAAGGCAAGTAATCACAAAACACAAGAATATCAATAAACACGCGGGTGAATGCCTTTGCAAAGTATCAGATTCAACTTATTTTTACTTACGTTTTTTAACTATCGGGGTCTGTTTTTTTTCTTTTATAATATTTTCACCTTTGAATGTGACATCGTTCTATCATAACATAATACATGTAAGTATCTAGATACAATTCTAAGCATTTGAGCAAAAACAGAAGGATGACAACTGTTCCAGTTTTGAAATATAAATATTTAAACACTATTCCTTTTCAACTCACTTTAGATTAAAAGGCACAAATGGATTTGCAATTATTTTTATTAAAGATCTTATCAATAAAATAGAAAATGTAAATCACAATTTAATAATAAGTATCTCCATTGAAATGAATACTCTTCAGAAAGGATGTTCTGCATTAGGTCTTTTATTCCTTAATTTATTGTTTTCAAAAGTCAGTTATCAATAAAACAACGACGCAATATTAGTTTATAATACAAAAATATTCAGTGATTTTTAACTAGAAGTTAGATACCGTTTTTGAAACTTTAGTCGAGATAAAACAATATTATACGGAATTATCTTCATCCATATATACAAACGATCAATGTCGTGCATTTAGGTTTCCGACCTCTAAAACAAAAGTATTATTATATGACAATATTCCAAATAGATATACATAGTTTGTAAGTCGTCATAACATGCATAAAAGAGGCATCTTAGGGTAAGGGCAATTTTTTAGATTTTAAACTGGCACTGCTCAAGATTGTGACACACAATATGTTCAACGAAATGTCAACAAATGAGCCGCGCCTTTACAAAACCAACATAATGGGTTTGCGACCAGCATGGATCCAGACAAGCCTGCGCATCCGCGTAGTGTGATCAGGATCCATGCTGTTCGCTTACAAACCCTATTACAAGTAGAGAAACTGAAAGCGAACAGCATGGATCCTGATCAGACTGCGCGGATGCTGGTCTGGATCCATGCTGGTCGCAAACCCACTATGTTGGGTTACTGAAACGCTTGATGAAATTGGCTATTCCTTCAAGAAAAATACAGACAGAGTAATAGTATATAATAATTATGGAAACTCAAATAAATACATTGACGTTAAATTATATGGGCATGTATGACAAAAGTGCAGATCATTTTGGTATGAGATTTTATAAACTTAAAAAGGAAAAGACATTATTATTTGATTTCAGTAAGGCAAGAACCAAAAGTTCCATTGAGGGACTGTTGCAAATTGTTATATGGACATTTATTTGTGTAAAAGGTACAGAAATCTTATAATTCCGGAGTAAACTAGTTCAAATACATTTACAGAAAAATAATGACAACCTGTGATGTGTAACTAATCGTGAATGTCAAACATTCCAAAATCCTCATTGCCTTTTATATGGAACAGCTTGTCTGAATAAAAATGAAACGTTGACAGACAAGCATTAAATTATTTACAGCTTTGTCGATCACTTTGTTTAAAGAGAGAACTAAAACACATGGCTGCAAAGATAAATATTTAGATTATAACAGCTAAGAAACAGGATGTTTTGTTTCTGAGGTTATTCATGCAGGTGAATGCCAGTCAAACGCCACGCATTTGTTAGAGGTATTTTAGAGGACAAGGGTGAATCAGGTTGTATAACGCTTCAGAAAAGGTAAGATTTTTTAAAATTGAAATTTATTTTGCTATTGTAAATGATAATACTTTTTTAAAGTTTGATTAAACCTTAATAATTGTATTTTCTCGATATATCAGGTGTGATATATTTCTGAGATATTTATTTTGTACTTATAATACCACACGTTTGTAAAGTCGCTTTTCACTAGATAATCGTTACGTTTACATAGTTTTACATGCCCGGCTGCTCAACATTTATGGAGAAATTTCACTTTTTCTCTAATATACGAAGTTTTCTTTGTCATAAATTCATTATAAACATTCTTATTAGGTTATATGGTCGTAAATAAACAAAATTACAGCGACAGCTATTTATATAGCCCTAAGGGCAATTTAACCTTTTCTAAACATTTTGTATTTTCTCAATATTGTATGATTTAAGTGATGCAATTTACGTTCAGATATATTAATTCTTATACCTGTTTAAAGAAATTAATTATTTTGGCTTTCTTTAAATATGAATGAGGTATGACTTATGGTTGATCTTTATTTGCAATTTATTCAAACTGATTGAAACATATACTTAACATTTTTTATCGCAAATAGTTTCCGAAGTTTATTTATCTTAACACTTGTTTATTTGTTTTACCTGTCTTCAACTTTAACAGTATCAGTCATAATTATGTCGATTGTATAAAGGTGGTCTCTATTTTGAAACTGATACATGAATAAATGTTTGGGAATTTTAATGCAAAGTGAGTTGGTAGTTCTGTTCAGAAATTGCAATTACTGTTCAAATGCATCAAGTGTAATAAAGACATTGTTTTAAACACATTGATCATTAAACGGTAAGTAAGATATACCTTTAATGTGGTAACACACTTGTTTGCGGTAGAGACACATTGGAAATAATCAAAATCACTGGCAGGCTTCTATCTTAAAATGATTTCACAAGGACAACTTCGGGTTAATCCAATTACCTCGTATTATAGAAAACGCTCTTCTCACATGAAACAGTCAGACAGCCATTAAGAACATTTACTATGGATTCAATAATTCTCCTAACACTTGCTTTTTATATTACTTTACGGTATTGTGGATTATATCTGTTGTCTCTACAGTTCACAAATATGGATATGTCTTACTACCATTACGTCACGCAAGACAAATTCAGCACTAGCACGTCTCCAAATATATATATTTGGATGTTACGTATACACCAGGCTGAGTTGATTGTAAAAATGCTTTTGTGCCATCAATGGCAGGGGATATATAAACACACACCGGACCATCTGAAACTGAAAAAATACTAACAATGCGTTCCAGAATAAAAAAGGAAATTCCACATGTCCTTTTTCCGGGGGTCGACCTTTAGGCACTTTTTAGCAACAAATTTACATGCAGAGAGTGATACATAGTTAGACTAGAGAGATAGGGGAATAATTCCCCTATCTTTTAAACCTCAGACGAAACGCATAGTACCTGTCCGTTCTGCGGATGATATTCGACTATCTTTTTATAGGGGTTTATTTTCTAAGGATAATTTTGCAAACTGTTGTTTGGAGTTATTTGATAAATATGCATAAAAGTATATTGTTCATACTTTAAAATGGTTCTTGTTGCTGGGTCGTATGGGGGTTGCGTTTATTGGACGCCGCCTTTCCTTGTGATCTTGTTTATCATATTTTAATATTACTGTCATTTTTGCATTCATTTTCCGAAATCGCAAATGGTGTAATACTATTTTACGAAATGAATAAATATGATATTTTTTCTCCATATTTCTCATGCGTTAGTATGATCTTTGCTGATAATTGTTATTTGTGTAGATGAAAATATGATCGTGATATATGGTTTTACCCCCGTTTATATGATGATGATATGATCAATGACAAAATGGAGGGTCATTCAATAACGCAAACATTTGTTCTTGTTTTTTGTGGCAATAAGTTTCTTTATTAAACATTTTCCATCATACATCATGTTGTTAAAATGAAAAAAATGTAGTAAAACAACAAAAATAAAAATATTTAAAAGTTATCTACAACTGATATTAATATAATAATTAATAAGCTAGTGGTAACGCATTATTGCCAACTTATCCATTTTTACCAACTATCTATAGAAAATACGTATCAATTACCTACAATGTAATCATTACATTTATTTACATTAATTATCAACTTTAAAAAACTAGTGCAAAAATATAATATTTATAGTGAAAAATGAATAATAATAATCACAACAATAGAAATAATAATTATAATAATAATGAACTTCACTGTTCATATATAAATATATATATTAATAAGTGACTTCAACTGATTTTTCTCATTTTCTTTTCAAAAAATATGCCATGTTTATTTAGTCTAAACATATTTATTCCCGAATATTTACATGATATACATAATACAATACAATCAGAATACAAATATATAATATATTCAAAGGAAAGGATGAGAACGAAAGACTAAGTCTTATAAAATTCTTCTCCTTTTAGTGTAACTTTATAATGTTTATGTTTATTTGCCAGGGTGATATTGAAATGAGAAAAATAAATTAATGTCAGTTATTTTTAGTATAAGATTATTTCATTTTTACTATTTTTCTCATTAAACTTATATACCTAGAAGTGTTAATGAAAATATCAGATAAACAATTTTGCTTTATCAATATAAAAGAACTGTTACATATACCGGGATGTGTTCCCAAATTACCCATTACTTCAGCGTGGGCATAGAAAAGTTGTTTGAAGTGGCAAATAGGTGAAAGATAAGCATCTTTGCTTTCTAACATTAACAAAATGAAAAGGTACTTTACTCGTATAGCATTTAATGATAGGAAGAGTTTACTTTTCTTTTTCTTTTTTCATAACTGATAAATAAACAAATAAATAAATAAAGGGATGAAAAAATAAGTAAATAATAAATAATTAATAAATATATGAATAAATAAATAAATATATAAATCATTGATGTAATATAAGGTGATTGAAATGTGATAAAAACATCAAATGATAAAAATGTTATTAAACTGCGGTATATCATAAATATTTATCAATTATATGCAATAATGTGATTGATTGCTGTCATGAAAATATATTGTTTCAATGCTGAGTAAATAGCTTAATTATATAACCCGGTTCAGAGAGAATACAAAACTCATTCAACCAAAGTTATATTTTTATGGTTATATATTGGCACATCTTCATCTGTTAATTCTTTTGAAATTATATCCAAGTTTATGCGGACAAATAACACATAACTGTTTGCTATGCATGTATGTTCCAAAAGTGCCAATTCAATGTTCTAAGATTTCTTTACTCAAAGAAGTCGTAAATCTTATAAGCTATCGTACAAACTCTAGTTGTAAAATAATGTCCATTTTACTGACAGTCGATTCCACATTAATCATTTCGCTAGTAGTCAATAAATTTACTGAAGCACTACTAGTCTTACCACATAACGCGGAAATAATACAAGTTACACATTGTGTTGATTAGTTACACAACGTGTGAGAAGTTTAAATCATCTTTAGGCATTTCATTAAAAAAATAAATGCGTTTTTAAAAATAGTATAGTATAATATACCTTGCCTACCTTATGATAACTATTATTTGCCTACCTTATGATAACTATTATAAGTTCAAATACAAACAAGAGACAATGTGAATACATAAGCCGACCTCTGGTAAAATATTCGACCTGCGGGGGATAATAACATTCCTGCCTTATGCTCGGAACAGCACAAACGTCAAAACATGATCATGATTCTTGTTTTAACCCGCACTCCCCCGGGCGAAACTAAAAAAAAAATGTATTCAAAACTTAAATAAAATGTGTATGCAAAAAACAAATATGTATTCAACACTTAAATAAAATATGTATGCGAAACAAAAAAAAAAAAATGTAAACAAACAAAAAAAAATAAACAATTTGCAACTGTCACTTTTATGCCACCGTACATAACTGAAAATGAAACTATTTTTTTCATCAAAATACCAAAGTATCTCAAAAATGTTCGGCCATGGTAAACGAGGTTGCTTTGTTATAACAAATATAGTACTATTTATATTCATAAGTATTTTCAATGATATGTTTCTTTTGGATCGTTTTTCCCTGTGTTTGTTCTTCTTTTCTATTTTATTGTTGTTGTTGTTGCTTCTTTTTTTTTGAAAAAAAAAAAAAAAAAAAAAAAAAAAAAAAAAAAAAAAAACAAAAAAAAAACCATTAAACTTGCAATAACATTTATGCATATAAAAGGGCTTATAATCTTATAGTTTTATTTTTTATAATAAAATTTCATGCATTGTTACTGCAACAAACAAAAATTAAGGCAAATTTGACGTTCCTGAACATTCATGGAATATAATTAAATAACTAACATTATTTTTGCAGAATTCTGATCTCATATCTATTTTTCTGATTATCGAAAATCAGACACAAAAATAAAAATCAATTTCAATATAATAAACATAATAAGAAAAATATGTGTATTAAAGAAAGCTATTGGATGATAAAAGCTAGTATCAAAATGTTAAAAATGTTAAAGGCACAATCTGTCGCAAAAATCCATAATAATTAAAATGTTTAGAAATGTAAAACATGTATTCACTATTGTTTTAATCAAAGATTTAGAGAATGTAAGATGTTTAACATATGAGGAAAGTATCGCTGAATGTTCAATAATATGTCGTAAAGGTAGCAATATGTAATCTAGGCAGTATTTTGACTTCTACACGAAATAATTATTTAGAATAATTATATTAATCGCAAAATTATTCTATATAGAAAATGAGATATTACCTCTTTTAAGAAGCTGTAACAGAATACCTAACTTAAAATTTATAAAAAGGTTTTGAAAAATGAAACTAAGAGCAATTTCTAGGCATGATGTGTCTTTAATTGTACATTCCAAAGATTATGAAAAACCAGATATGCTTAATATGATATTACACAAAACACAAAGCACTGACAATGCAAGACATAAAATTTATACATTTTTCTGAATATATTTTTGCAGAATCAAATAATGAGT